AAACTGAAGGAGAAGAAAGAGAGGAACCTGCGAAAGCTAGTAAAACAGCAGATGCTGAGGAGCCACCAACGAAGCAACAAAAGACTGCGGAAAGTTCACCTACAAGTGCTGATCCTGGAAGTCCGAAAGGAAGTCTATTTCCACCGTTGTACGCCGGACAGGTAGAAGAACAGGAAGACGAAACAGGATATCATGAAGATGACCTTTGGGAAGAAAGAGTCTGGAAGGAATGCGAAGAGGAATATGAAGCGGATAGTGAAGGAGAAGAAGAAGATGAGGATCGACCACCGAAAGTCAGCGAAGAGGAACTTGAAAGATTGGATGCAGAGGCAGGAAAAGCTGAACTTGACAAACTCGCCAACATGAAGGTTGTGAAGACGATCAAGAAGGAAGAGTGTTCAGAGGAAGGTAAGTTTCTGACACTAAGGACAGTTTTCGATTGGAGAAAGAGAGATGGAGTTTGGAAGCGTAGATGCAGAATTGTGTGTCGGGAATTCCGTGCGGGAGCCCAGAGCACGGAGGAGACTTTTAGTCCTACGTCAGGACACGCAGCAGTGCGAATGATGTTTCTTTTTCATCTCATCTACAATTGGGAGCTTACAGTTCTTGACATTCGTGACGCATTCTTGCAAGTCACGCAGAAAGCTCTGATGTATGCTGATATCTCACCGTGGATTCGAACACTACTTGGTTTGGATGAAGACCATGTATGGAAAGTGGAGAAGTGTCTGCCAGGGCAAAGATCAGCGGCAGAACAATGGTTTACCCATTTGGTTGAGATTTTGAAGCGTTTGGGATTTGAGCAATTTGTTGGGATACCCTCAATCTTGAAGCACCGAGTGAAGAAGATTGCAGTGTCGATTCATGTCGACGACGAGCTAGTTGCAGGTGCGAAAGGCGAAGGAAGATGGCTGATATGCGAGCTAGAGAAGTTTTTCAAGCTCACAGTTGAGGGACCGTTCCCATCCCACCGGGGATCGGGAGAACAGCTTCATTACCTGAAGAGGACCTATGAGTTCCTTGAAGAAGGAATTTTGGTGACAGTGTCGAAGAAGCACTACGAGAAGCTTAGAGGACTCTACAAGCTGGGGAACCGAAAGCCAAGACAAACCCCAGAGCACCAGCTGATTGGAACAGTGGACAATTCCAAAGAACTGGAGGAGAACGAGTGCAAGAAGTTTCGTTCAGCGTTGGGAACACTGTTGTACATTTCTCAAGACCGATGGGATTTACAGCATGTGACGAAGTGTTTGGCAAGTAAGATGTCGAAGCCAACGGAACAAGCGTTAACCTGTTTGAAACAAGCTTTGCTCTATGTGCAAGGAACAGAGCAACTGGGATTCCTACTGAAGTACACAAAGGTTGGAAACAAGATGATGGATGCGATCTATCAAAGAGAAGAGCAAGAAGAAGAAGACGAAGAAAAGAAAGGAACACACAGTATGGAAGTATTCACGGATGCAGATTGGGCATCAGACCGTGAAGCGAGATGGTCTACATCATCAGTGATTGTGTGTGTGAATGCAGTGCCAGTACTTTCGTATAGCAGGACCCAGAAAGCTACAGCTTTAAGTTCGGCAGAGTCCGAAGTGCTAGCATGCTCAGGAGGAGCATCAGAAGCGATGTTACTGAAGAAGTTGTGGATGTTTCTTGCAGGAAAGTTACTCGTGGAGATCCGGATGGATTCAAGTGCGGGAAGACAATGGATGATGCGAACAGGAGTCGGAGGACTCAAACATATCGATCTGAGAGTATTATGGCTTCAGCGAGGGGTGAAGAACAACAGCTTCAAAGCAAAGCCAGTGCCTACCAAATTGAACATTGCCGACTTGAATACAAAGCGCTTAGGAGTATCTCGAAGGAGATTTCTCATGTACCATATTGGAGCCATGGTGTGGAATGGAGAAAGTCATGAGCGTTATGGGAAAGAAGAAGCAATGGAACATGTGGCAGGTGAAGTTTGCCGAAGCCAAGTTCGAGCACTACGTGCAACTTTGTTGAGCGAGCGTGGAAGCAAGACGGCTAGAGCGATGTACTTGACAATGATGGTGAATATGATTTCTCAGATTGCAGGACAGCCAGACGATTTTGGAGGACGAGAACGAGAAGAACGAGAATTTGTTTTCATCTATGTGAAGGAAGTGAGTGGATGGATTATTCTTTTCAGTGTGCTACTAGGAGGAATTTTCGCTTTACTCTTGTTCTACATGGTCGAGCAGAAGGTGAACGAAGGACGACAGGAACCACAGGAAGAAGGACCACAGGAACCACAGGAAGAAGGACCACAGGAACCACAGGAAGAAGGACCACAGGAACCACAGGAAGAAGGACCACAGGAACCACAGGAAGAAGGACCACAGGAACCACAGGAAGAAGGACCACAGGAACCGCAGGAAGAAGGACCACAGGAACCGCAGGAAGGAATTCACTATTCGAAGATTTGTGCAAAAGTATTGTCCGCCCGATGAGGATGATGTTCAACGTACAGCAAGGGCAGTCAATATGTATTTCCGTGATGCACCAGAGGATTCAGCGACAGGCAGTGGTAATGGGATGCCTGGAATCAGTACAGTACCAGCAAGCCAAATCCATGTGAATGACGAAGAGCTTGCAAGGCGATTTCAAGAATGGGGAATGGTTAATATCATTCCTATGGCACAGGATGTGGACGAACAGCTACGAGCACAACCCCATTATGTGTACACGCCTCATGGCAAGAGGTACCACCGACCTACATGTGCAGATGTGCAAAGGTCAGAGAGATTCACTTACAGTGCAGCAGTGCATGCGAGATTGCACTACCGTCCTTGTGGCAATTGCAGGCCCGGGACCATGTGAGTGAATGATGGAATGTTTCACTTTTCCGTACAGTGTGAGCTACAACGAGTACAAGCTTACCTGAGCGAAGTGTTACCCACGAGGAAGCAGTGGGAACAGTTTTCACCGAGTGCAAGGACTCCAATAGGGAGAGCACAACGAGGCCATCGCACAATACCAGATGAGCCCAACGACATACCTGTACAGTTTCTACAAACCCGTTACTGTAGAGTGATGTTGAGCTTACAGTTCGCACAACATCAAGGCGGGGTGTAAAGTTTTTCTACTACCTGGGAACCCCACCTACCAACCCAAAGGGTTGATGAGCATGTGTGGATTTGTGACTCATGTTTTACCGACAGCGCTTTTACCGGTTCAAGGAAAAAGAGCGACTTGAAGTTTAGCAGATAAGATCTTTGGGCTCTAAAACCTCAGCCGTACAACTCCCGACCCTAAACCAATAATAAGCTTGCGGCCTCCAAGCTGAGTCCACAACATCGAAACTTTAAGCTCTCCACCAAGGGCATCCGGTTAAACAAGTGAAATCACGAAAGTCAAAGTACTTAACGTCACTTATAAGTAACCTGAAAAATATGTATATATTCGCCCATCATATAACTGTGCCCATAAGTAACTTCTACGTTTCACAAGTAGTTTATAGGTTAAGACGGTTAAAAAGTGCTCCGTGCAATCTGGCAGGATTCGTTTTGGTTGTTTGGGTCTCCACGCGGGAAACGCAAAATACGGTCAATGCGATGCGCAAAAGCAAGCAGCGCAAACAAATCTTTTTGTCGATCATCCCCAACCTACAACTAAGCGGAGACTCTCTCCCGGATTGTCTGAAAGGGTGGGCTCATGCACTTGAGAGATACTCGCGGGACACTCTGGGGGCGGGCACGGACACTCGGAGGGACTCTTCGCAGGATTGTCTGGGGGGGCACTCCAGGGACTCCAGGGACAGCCAGGAGACCGGGCGGGGCACGGGTGAGGGGTGGGCGAGGCGCGTGGTTGACTAATTACCCCACACCGAGGGTGGGAGCATCAGTTTGTTCAGGATGTTTTAAGGAGTTGGGCTTTCAGGATTTCAGGGGAAGCGTCTCCCAAAATTGTTTTCTGTATTCTATGCACGCAAAGTACAGCTAGGAATGCGACAGTTTTGCGCGCAGTTTCTGCTGCTTCAAAAACCCGATGTTTAAGAAGTCCTTCAGGGAGCCGGTATCTCCGGCAAGAGTCTCCCAGGATTTCGGCTTCGTGGGTGTCTTCCATATGGTTGTTAATTTGGAAAAAGCACTGAACAAAGCATCCCGCATAGTCCACTTCCGTATTTACAATTCCCTAAATACATAAAATCTCATATATATATATATATATGTATATAGATATATTATACATACAGATGTATACACATCTGCATCTGTAGTAGTACATATGCATGTTCGTATACGGGGCATGTATGAGCAAACCCCTTGTTGGCCCAGAAAACCCCAACTTGTGAAATTTTACCCCAGAAGCCAAATACTGTGATCATCCCCGCCCTATGGCAAACTGGCTAACCGATGTAACCCTAAACTCTACACCTTACACCCTGACACCCTAAAACCCGAAAACCCTAAACCCTAAACCTCAAACCTCAAAACCCTAAAACCCTAAACCTTAAGCTCGCTGGGAGTTTTGGCGGGCTTGTCTGCGGGCGGGCGCTCCCAGGAGATTCTGCGGGATCTCTGGGCTCGGAGGCGTCTGGGTTCTCAAAGCAGAGCCCAAATAGGTTTAGGGTTTAGGGTTTAGGGTTTAGGGTTTAGGGTTTAGGGTTTAGGGTTTAGGGTTTAGGTTTACGGTTTAGGGTTTACCGAAGTTCTAATGAACACAAGAAACGCCATGAAGTAACCCAATACCTGAAGCAATCACAGCAAAACCCTTGACATCTCAAAGCACTAAGCTCCTCAAACACGTGCCACCCAAGCCTCAAAACTGATCCCATGTAGAAGCAAATCGACCAAAGTTAAGCTGCATGTCCGTTCACGGGTATAAAAGTTACTCGGAACCCACTTCACCCTGAAACCCCTAAGTCCCTAAAACCTATACATAGCAAAAAACCCTAAACCCTAGACCCGAAACTCTAAACCCTAAACCCTAAACCCGTAAGTCCCTAAAGCCTATCGGCTTTGGGCCGATCATCTTCTGAGGCTGGGGAGGTTTTGCCATCCTGGCAGCGGTGCTCCTGGCCTGGGACCCTGTCAGAGGGGTGTTTTTGGCGGGTGTTGAGAATTTGTTGGCGGATTTTGAGAGGGTTTAGGGTTTAGGGTTTAGGGTTTAGGGTTTAGGGTTTAGGGTCAATGTTGTGTCTAGCTGGGGCTTCTAGGGCGTATTGATTGAAGTTTACACACTCAGCCCACAGTCCCAAACTTTTTGGCCGGCCCCCAAACCTTAAACCCCTGCAACACCCAAAAAAATGCATAAGTAGCCCCTGGGCCCTAACCACTCAAACAACCCTAAACCCCGAAACCCGGCACCCTCAATGATATGAGCACGCTAAGCCCTGGACTCCCATACCTAAACTGAAACCCTATAAAACCTCCCTAACCTCTGAACTCCCTAGACTCCCAAAACCCCCTAAACGCTGAAACCCCGAATTGTCTAGATTCCCTACAAACTCCCTAAACCTTGAAACCCTAACCTCCCCGAAGCCACTCCCTAAACCCTGAAAGCCCTAAACCCTGAAACCCTGAACTCCCCAAAGGCCCTCCCGCCACCCTAAACCCTAAACCCTAAACCCTAAACCCTAAACCCTAAACCCTAAACCCTAAACCCTAAACCCTAAAACCCTAAAACCCTAAACCCTAAACCCTAAACTCTAAACCCTAAACCCTACCCCCCCCCCCCCCCCCCCCCCCTGCTGGTCCGAGGCAGGAGGCATCTGGCGAATACGGCGCCGGCGCCGCGTCAACCCAAGGGAGCCGCAGGTTCTAGGTCCGAGGCCAAGCACGTGCGGTTTAGGGTTTTGGGTTTAGGGTTTAGGGTTTAGGGTTTAGGATTTCTAGGTCTGAGGCCAAGCACGATTAGGGTTTGGGGGGTTTGGGGCTTATCGGGTTTAGGGGTTTAGGAGTTAGAGTTCAGGGTTTAGGGGTTTGGGGTTTATAGGGTTTAGGGAATCTAGGCGTTTACACGGTTTATAGGTTTAGGGGTTCAGGCTTTATAGAATTTATGAGTTGGGCCTTACTCTAATCATCCCCTTATCACTTGTCATGCTCTATAGTTCTGGGCCAACACCCCCCCCAAATTGTAAAGCCCAAACTGGTTCTCAGTAGGGAATGAGGGAATTAGGCACCTCATATCCCCTTGCCTCTACTTGTTAACCCCTAAACCCTAAACCCTAAACCCTAAACCCTAAACATAGAGGGTACTCTTTTCCTTCATGAAGAGCCAGTAGGATGAAGTGGTCGCTATCTTAGCCCGAAGCTCGTTGAGCCTGCTACCACCGAAGTTGGGCTCTTTGGCGAAACCCTAAACCGCCTTTTAGGGTGTAGGGTTTAGGGTTTAGGGTTTATAGTTTATAGGGTTTAGGGTTTAGGGTTTAGGGTTTAGGATCTCAACCCCAAACCGTAAACCTCCCATCTAGGAGACTTAGGATCTGCGTGATCTGCGTTCTAAATCTTCCGGCCTCGTCGGATCTCTTAGATCATTTAAGTCGAGGCTGCCGGGCCCTCCAAGCCTTAGAGGGTTTAGGGTTTAGGGTTTAGGGTTTAGGGTTTAGGGTTTAGGGTTTAGGGTTTAGGGTTTTAGGGTTTAGGGCTCGATGTCATTCATCTCGCCAAGCTTCTGCGCGCAGGTCAGGGTGTCAGCATATGTGAGAGGGTCGAGGCTTTGTGGTGCTTTATTGTAACTTTACATCCTTAGCCTTGTTGGGCTTATTGGGTTTCCTAGTAAGGCAGCGAAAAGGTTAATTTATAGCTACCCTCCTAAGTGCAGCCAAGGAGGAACACATGCGGGAACATGAGCCACTCCGCAAGAGCACCGGACACATGTTGACCGAGGTTTGAACTGCCGTGTTGGCCATGTACTTCTCCCCCCTCCCCTCTCCCCTCCCCCCAAAAAAGACAACAACCTCCTCTTAATTAAGTTTCTTCACCCTCAATCACAGCCTTCATGAGGGGGCGAGCCCTAAACCCTAAACCCTAAACCCTAAACCCTAAACCCTAAACCCTAAACCCTAAACCCTAAACCCTAAACCCTAAACCCTAAACCCTAAACCCTAAACCCTAAGTTTAGGCATCAAGACCCCGAGGCCGGCTCTTAGATGAAGTCGAGGGGCAGGAGTGGGAGCCTGAGATTCTGCAGAAGAAGTTTTGAGGTTTAGGGTTTAGGGGTTTAGGGTTACAGGGTTTTAGGGGTTTGGGGTTTAGGGTTTCAGGGGTTTAGGCTTACAGGGTTTTAGGGGTTCAGGGTGTAGAGTTATAGGAGTTTTAGGGGTTTAGGTTAGGTTATAGGGGTTAAAGGGGTTATAGGGGAGGGTGATAGCGGTTTAGAGGTTTAGGCTTGCAGGGTTTTAGGGGTTTAGGGTAAAAGGGGTTGTCGTGCTTATAGGGGTTTAGGGTTGCAGGGGTCTCGGGTTTTAGGGGCTAAGGGTTATAGGGGTGACAGGGGTTTAGGGTTTTGGGGCTTATTGGTTCAGGGATTCAGAGGTTTAAGGGTTTTAGGGGTCAGGGTTTACTGCAGGGCAGCGCAGGCAGGGTTGGACTTCCGAGCTGCAAAATGACCTCACCTATGTAATGTAAGCCGCACGTGCACCAGCTACATCCTCAACCCTAAACCCTAAGCCCTAAACCCTAAACCGTAAACCCTAAACCCTAAACCCACCTTCGAGGCTGGTTCCAGCCACTGCGAATGGCTACGGCACCAGCTGAGCTCAACAGGCAGCCATATGCTTCTCTCGCGCATGGCGGCCGAAAGGGGCGCCATCCAAAGCCACGCAGAGCTTTTGTGAATGTGGAGCGTCATGATTTCACTGAACCTTGCAAACTCCCACCCTATACCCTACAACCCACAACCCTAAAGCCCTGTACCCTAAAAACCCTAAGCCCTTGACCCTAAACCCTTTACCCCAAAGCCCACAAGCCCCTCAAGACACCCAGGGAGTGGGCATGGCTGTTTCATAGCAGCGCAGTGCCCGGCCACCCTTCGCGCGTTTCGGAGCATGGGGAGTCATCAACAAGGCTTCAAGGCTTACAGGTTTACTTTTTGTTGGGGAGAAGTTTGGGGTCTAGGGTTTAGAGCTGGGGTTTTGGGGATGTAGCGTGTTGGTGACACATGTGAAGAGTCTTCGAGCCAACAGCAAGTAATCGGATGCCCCCCCCTGCTGCCATCAGCGTCCGTGCAGTGTTACGGTGAGCGCACGGTGTGGCCAGAACAGTCCAGTAGACCACATAAGCAGCCGGCAGCCACAAGTAATTGCAGCTGCTCACTTGTGGAAACACTAAATAGTAAACGAAGCGTGGAAACACTAAATAGTAAACGAAGCCCCGTTTCTCTCCTAGCAAAAATTCAATTACTGCCAATCGGCTCTGGCATCTTGCTTTCGGATGTCAGCGACAGGGGCAGCGTCACCTGAACCACTCCGATGACGCATCTTATGGAAGCATGAAAAGGAGCGGTCTGAGTCTCTGCACCCGTCTGCCCACCCGGCCCAGAGCCCGAAACCGCTAGATGCAGGCGGCTATGGAATCTATTTTTTATGTATTTTTACTTATGTATTTATATACACGCCGTCCGAGTAAAACATGTGGTGTATTCCTGATTTCCAGGGTTTGGGGCCTAGATTTCGGGGTTTAGGATTTAGGGCTTAGGTTGCCGGATTACGGTACGGTTCCCCACACATCTGGGTCTGCTTTAGCTGCACTTTGGAGGGGACCGGGGGGGAGCTGTGCTCAGATCCGGTAGGGTGTCGAGTACTCCTTTACTTTGATTCTCCTCTCCCTACATTTGCAACAAGTTCTGGCGAAAGGTACTGCGTGGAATGCCTCCACACGGAGGCAAACGTAGCCCACCTGTACTGCCGGCGCCCTGGGTTTAGGGACCCTAAGCCCCAAACCGCCCAAACCCTAAATCCTAAACCCCAAACCCCAAACCCTAAACCCTAAACCCTAAACCTAAAGGGATTAGGCGGTTTTCGGATTTTAAGAGATCTTGTCGGAGCTTTGGCGTTCTGCAGGGCTTATGAGGGCCGAGGCTTCAGATTTTTCCTAAGACCCAAAACCGCTTAGGACTTAGGGTCTAGGGATTAGGGTAAGTTTAGGGCTAGGGTTTAGTGTTGAGGGTTAATGTTCTTGGGAGGTTGCTGAACCCCACAAGCAAAAGTAGGTTTGGGGTTCCTGGGGACGGCCCACTCTTCTGGTATACATGGGGTGAGGGGAGAGGAGTCAAAATTGCCAGGGTTAGGGTTTTGGGGAGGAGTTTGTAGCCTTCGAATATATGATTTGTTAAACAACCTTTCCGAGGCATTGAGTTTCGGGGTTTCGGGGTGTAGGGGTTGAGCGCTTGAGTTGGGGTTTAGGGTTTTGGGTTAGGGTTTAGGATTTAGGATTTAGGGTTTAGGGCTTAGGGTTTCGGGTTTAGGGTTTAGGGTGTAGGGCACTTGTGTGCTTCCTGGCGGCTGCTGAGGTCCAGAATGCGGCGACAGTCTCTGCGACTTGGTGGACCTAGACCCCAAGGTAATGCAGGAGCCAAAACCGATATGATACCAATCTTGTCCCCACAAATTGACAATATGTGTGTGTGTATATATATATACACCTACATCGCTCCATATGTGTATATACATATGTGTCTTAATATAGATGTGTACATGTATCTGTTCATACCCCCAACAAAACATTCTAGACGAATAGGCCCCTAGATTGCGCTCAATGCTCAGAGCAGTTACATGGTCCCTTAATATGGTCCCTTACCTTTTTTCAAGGGTTCTCATGTATGGGCCCTTCAGTTTGCATAGGGTATACTTGGATGTTCAGGGTAGTTATAACCCCAAGTATAACTGTGCTTATAAGCCCCCGAAGTCCCCTAAGTAGGTTATAAGTGGACTTATAACTGTGGTTAATTATAAGTACCCTTTTAAGGGCCCATGCTAAGGGACCGTAGAACTACCCTAAGATGAGTGGTTCGGGAGCCTTTGGCCTTTGGCCCTTGGAAGCCCCGCAGGTTGGAGCATTTGTGGTGTGTCTAGGGCTGAGGGGTTGAGGGTTTAGGGTGTCGGCTTCAGGGTTGAGGGGTGAGGGTTTTGGGTTCAGGGTTGAGGGTTTAGGGTTGAGGGTTTTCACTTTGTCTTATAAATTATTCAGAGGTTTCAAGGAGATCTTGCTTAAAGAGTATACTTTTTCCCGGGGGGTTGTAGGGCCTACTCCCCTAGGCCCTAAACCCTAAACCCTAAACCCTAAACCCTAAACCCTAAACCCTAAACCCTAAACCCTAAGCCCGCAAGGCCTGGGCTGCTTCGAAAAGCTGCATGCAAAAGGGCACCGCTGGGGCCCATCTGGGGGTCTTGGGGTTTAGGGCTTATAGGGTTTAGGGTTTAGGGGTTAAGGGTCTAGGGCTTAGGGTCGAGCGTTTCGGGTTTAGGGCTTAGGGTTTAGGGTTTAGGGCCCTTGGGTTTTTTTCGGCTTGACCGCGGTGGGGCCAGAACCCGAAACCCTAATCCTAAACCCTGAACCCATGGATTCGGGATTTCAGGCTCAGGCCCTTCGGGGTGTCTGGGTCTTAGGGATGTGAGCAGAGACCGTAGCAACGTAGGCACAGAAGGCCCTAGCACCCTAAACTCCAACCCTAAACCCTAAACCCTAAACCCTAAACCCTTAACCCTTAACCCTTAACCCTTAACCCTTAACCCTTAACCCTTAACCCTTAACCCTAAACCCTAAACCCTAAACCCTAAACCCTAAACCCTAAACCCTAAACCCAACCCTAAACTCCAAACCCCCAACCCCAACCCTAAACCCTAAACCCGAAACCCTAAACCCTAAACCCTTCTCCACTTCCGAGCCTTCAGCCCTGTCCAGCTCGGGTGGGGTTTAGGGTTTCCAGGAATTAGATGGTTTAGGGTTTCCAGGGTTTGGTTCGAAATGATGGGCTTTGTAAGGATGCCTTCTGAAGTAAGGAATAAGACAAGTACCCTAATTTGGACCCAGACTTTTTAGGGTTTTAGGGTTGAGGGTTTATAGATCAAACCAGCCAGCAACTCAAGCAAAGCAAACCCCAAAACGTCTACAGCCTCTTCCTGCCGTACGTCACCAGGCACTGAACCCCAGGTCGAAATATGTGGGGGTCCCTTTCTGCGAATACTGTGCGTAACTCTTCAACATCTTGGCGGTGCCTTTTGGCCCTCTGTTCGGCTCTAGGTTACTTTTCAAGTAAAAAGCCCGAAAAAGGGTACCCTGTGATGATAACATGGTCTCTGGTCTACCAAGTTAAGCCCCAAACCCCATAATCCCGGAACCCCCTAATCCCTTAGCCGCAAACCCTAAACCTATCTCACCAGGCCACTAGGCTTCTGCACTGCACCCTTTCATGGCTACGGCAGTCCCCTGCCACGCCGTGGAACGCCACAACACATCGCACCGACCTTGAAACCCTAAACTCCCAAAACTCCCTAAACCCTAAACTCCCTAAACTCCCTAAACCCCCTAAACCCTAAACCCTAAACTTCCTAAACCCTAAACTCCCTAAAGTAGCGCCTAAGCTTAACCTCGGAAGAGGAGGGAAGACTCAGGTGCGACCCACGAGCCCAACCACTTCATCCTGTGCGTGATGTGTAAGGCGGGATGTGGCCAGCTAGGATCCAGAGTGGGCCGGGCCCCTTATTCCCTTTGCTTAGACTTTCGGGTGTAGGGTTTAGGGCTAGGACCTGGGCGCTTATTCCCTTGTTTTTGGGTTTAGGTTCCCTTCTAAGCCCCCTTCTAAACCAAAAAGGGCGCCCTGCTTGTTTCTAGGTTACTCCTGGATCTAGCCAGCTGAGGTTGGGATTTTAAGGGATTGGGGCTTTAAGGGGTTTGTTCAGGGTACCAGGCATTTGGGGCTTTTAGGGTTTAGGTTTTTAGGGGCGGGGCTAATTTCGGATTTAGGGTTTTTAGGGTTTAGGGTTTAGGGCTTTACGGGTTTAGGAAATCACAACCCTAAACTCATCTAGGGAGTAGTGTTGTCGTGTATACCCGGTTTTCTTCCAGGTCCTCTAGTAGCGTTTAGGGTTTACAGGGTTTAGAGTTTAGTGGGTTTAGGGTTTCGGGTTGAGGGTCAAAACCGGAACCGAATGTGACACCATGTTGCGGTGCTTGAATTCTTCCAGTTGGGGCTCTATGCCCCGGAGACCTACCGCAGAGCCCTTCTCCCGGTGGGAGAATGGGACACCATCGCCGGAATTCTAAAACTGGCCAACTTGAAGCTTACGAGGGCCGCAAGCTGTACCTTGGGAAGGTGAAGGGGATCTAGGCGGGGGAGGCGAGTGGGGGGGAGGCGGCGAGGGGAGGGGAAGGGGGGGAGGGGGGGGGGGGGGGGGGGGGGGGGGGGGGGGGGGGGGGGGGGGGGGGGGGGGGGGGGGGGGGGGGGGGGGGGGGGGAATGTTGCGTGCGACTTTTTTCCTAAGCTGCGCATTACGAGGGTTCTCCCCACCCAAGCTTCTGGTCCTACCCACGATGCCTAAGAAGCTGAGTAGGTGACATTGACCCTTCGTGGGTTAATCTCCTGCAGCCTAGATGTTTAGGGTTGAGGGTTTTAAAGCCCTACCCATCAATGTGGCCTACATGCCCTGCACATGCAGGGGTCCCTGTGGGCCATAACCATGAATACTATGCCCTGACGAAAAAACAGCCTGACACCCCCAACGCTTGTGCCTGAAGTGCCGTGGACCCAAAAACATCCC